TTTTAAAAACTAAATGAAACCTGATGCAGATACATAGTGTTTTTTAAACATCATTTTTAACCTGTTCTTTGTTTCCCAGGTCGTTCCTGCTTGCTGTGAATAGAGGAATGAACTGAGGGATGGCTGCTCCTCCATCCCATGAGGGCTGATGGGATGCCAGATCCCTTTCCAGCTTCTCCCAAGAAAATGAGAACAGCAGGGAATGCCCGACCTGCCACACTGAATTTTTCAGAGAACTTGCCTATATTTGGAAGCACACTGAATTGGCTGATTTGGGATCCTTCCTGTCATGTTCAGGGATGCGAGTATTGCCCACGGCACAGGGGTCTCTCCAGTGCACTTCCAGAAGTTAAGAAATGTGAAGGTGGATCAGGAGCTGAGCTCGGAGGGGTCCTTTGGACTGTCTTTGCAGGTGCTGCGGCGAAGCACGTTTGCTGAGGATGCCCGTGCGCCTCCTGCCCAGCTCTGCCCACGCTGCGCTGCCTCCTGCCCGGAGCAGGTGCTGCCTGCAGGCTGCGGCACCCAGCACAGGGCAGAAAGCAGCGGTCCCGGGCACAAAGCCGGCCGCTGCTGGCCAAGCAGCGTGGGAGGGAGTCAAGGTTCTCCCTGGTCCTGCTGTTCATAAGTCACTACACTTAAATGCTGTCAGAGCAGGGTGAACCACTTAAAACCAATTAAGTACCTTAAGGAATCTTTCCCTGATGGGGTTTCAATTACCTTAAGTAGAAGACAGTATGGAGCAGGAGTGCTGTTAGCCTAAAGGCTATCGTTTAGACTCTTACTAATTGGATCATGCATTTGAAAATTACTGTGCTCCTATGGGACAAAATGTATATGTTTACTTAGATATCACTTACAGATATTTTCCAACTCAATCTGTACCTGTGTAAGGTTTGCATTTTTCTCCTTAAAAACCTCTAAATAGGACTTTCTAGGTTATTAACTGCTGCTAGTTTTTCCTGCTTGAGATAAGCTATATCTGTGTATGCAAATAGATTTTAGGTGAATATATACATAGCTGAAAAATTTTGGAGATTACTTTTTTTAAGAGGCCAGTGTGGAATCTGAAAAGCTAGGGTGGATTTTAAGATCATTTTGAAAGAGGCTGAATTTTAAATGAGTTTTAGTAGAATTGCTGGAGAATTACTGGTCGGACTTGGCATCCTGCATTCCTGTAGTTCGGAATGATGCAAAATGTATTTATCGTGAAGAAGATCAGGACAGGCTTTCCTTGCATAACATTGTGAGGCACTTGTCGACCAGCACACAGATTTAACTGAAATGCACACCCTGATAGAAAACTGCTTAAGAGATTTTTTTAAAAAAACTTTTAAAATGTAAACTGTGTGAAGTGTCCTAATTCATCCTGGGAACCTGATGTTTTTCTGTGCAGAAGACATCTACTGGAGGTTTTTAGAAGCGCTCCTCTTATTTACATCTGAAAAATAGGAGGTTTGACTAAAACGGTGTCTGAGCCAGAGGAAAATGTATTAAACCCGTGTTCTGATCCTGGAGGTGGCAAGGCTGGGTATTACAGGACCATTCTGCGTTAAAATTGGCAACATGAACTATATTGTTTGGTTTTTTTTTTTTTTTTCAATGGCTGTTCCGTACCTCTGCACTTCTTGTTATTGCTGTAACCTGCCCTTGCTCCAGACAGCTCGGGATTGTGCGTTTAATACAGATAAGTGCAGGGCTTTGCGCTCGGCAGCGGAGAGATTAACCCAGCCGCGCAAGCTGGTCGGCTGCTGGGGCAGCGAGGGGCTCGGTGGGGGCTGTGCCGCGGTTGGGGACCCAGCTGAGCCCTGGGGCTGCCGTGCCGGCATGGAGATGGTTTCCCTATCATGTGTCCTGAAAGCGGCACAGAGATGGTTTCCCTGTCGTGTGTCCAACTCTAGGGACAGCAGCGGGAATACAAATCAAATTTTATAAAGCATTTTAAGAAGAGCTATAGAAATTTTCAAAGCCTGGAGTAAGAGTATTAATAATGTTATAATTTGTAATAAGTTGCAAGTACAGAGCTCATAAACGTGGTTTTATACATTCATACAGTGTGTAAATAAGTTAGAAATACATAATTATAATCAGAACAGCTTATTACTTTAACCAATGATTGCCTAGGAAAAGCAATATAAAAGGCAGGCAGTGCCCCCGGCCCTAAGCAGGGGTCAGTTTGAAGCTTCAGACTGATGCCCCGGTCCCGTACCCCGCGGCCCCCCGGCCGCCTGCCCCTGCAGTGGGTGTGGGGTGAGGCACCCCCCGGGCGCAG